CCGGAAAATACGCGATATGCGATATCCGTTCGGAACTCTAACGGTATCCAAAATGAGATCCGAGCACACCTACGCACTCGTGACATCGAGAGGATCATAATGGGGCAAAAATGCCCCTCAGCTACAGTGCCCACGCGCCCCCACACGCGCCGGCAGCGCGTGGGTGTCTAAAGCGATATCGCGTCGCCGGAAATCCTCCAAATCGTGAGCCAAGACTCCTACCCTAGGTAATACACCTAATTTGGAGTCACTTTTGTTCTTGGACATACTCCAAAAACTGACCGGAAGTGGCCGAAATCGCGATCGCAAAACCGGCCGAAACATAAATCTTAGATCGAGCTACTTAGCCTCAAAATTTATGAAATCCTACCCAACCATCAGCTAGATCATGCAGAAGGGATGAATTTCCATACCTTGATTGCCAAAAATGGCGGCCGGACGACGGAGAACGAAGCCTGCCCAACCATAAGCTATACCATGCAGAAGGGATGAATTTCCATCCCTTTATTGCCGAAATCGGTGGCCGGACGACGGAGAACGAAGCCGGCGAAATTTCGGGCAAAACCGGGCTGTTTTTGAGAGAGCCACGCGGCCGCAGCAGGCGGGCCCCGCGACCGTGGCTGTCGCGAACCAGATGAGGGAGAGAGGGACGCGCGCGGGAGAGAGAGAGAGAGAGACGGGGGCAATTCCGTCTTTTAACCAAAAATCCATTTTCTAAATATTTACGATTATGCCACTGATCTTCATTTGACCATATCTCTCTCGTTACAACTCCGATTCGAGCCCACTACGTGTCTACGATCTCATCTCACCGTGCTCTACGCAACGGTACAACCGGAATTCCCAAATTCCTTCCGGATAAGAAAATGACCAAAATACCCTTATCCCACGGGTAATTTCTCAATTCCACTTAAATTAATTAAACATTGGATAAATTTGGGGTCAGGGTGTTACAATATAAGAGGGATTAAGTTTAGAGTCTAATTCACTCTCTTTTATTGAGATTTATTACGAAATTATTTACACTGTACTTGGTCATGTTTCAGGATGATAACAAATTTTTATAGTTTATGCGCGTCTGATTTACTCTCTTTTATGATTATGGTGTTTGTTCAAAATCAGTTCTTTTTTAATTTTCTTTGAAAACTCTAAAGAAACAATAGGGCCGACCTTGAGATTTTTAAGGCCTAGGAAAGATCATTTGATGTTCTAAAAATTGGGACCCTCCCTTAAGATGGGGCCTAGGGTCGCACTGATTGCCCTGGCTCAAGGCCGAGGTTGAGAAAAATCTACAGTTTTGTTCCTAATAAAATTTTAAACATGAACCTAGTTTTATATCCCAAACCATATTTATGAGTTTATGTTATTATTTAAAGAAAATTTGGTTACAAGTATACAAAAAAGGATTTTTTTTTTTTTTTTTTTTTTTTTTTTGGTTACAAGGCAGGCTGAAGCCAGAAAAGAAAAAAAAGCTTAACAAGGCACAGCCTTACTTTGGGCTCTTCCTATTTCATCATCCAGCAGAAAGCTTGAGAGGGAGATAGGAGCAGATTCATAGATATGAAGCCCCAAGGGTAACTCATACCCCAAGTTAGCAAGGTGATCAGCTGCTCTGTTTTCCTCCCTGTAGATATGAGAGACATTGCATCTCCAATTACGTTTAAGTAACAACTTGCAGTCTTCAATCAGACAAAAGAGAGGATGTGCATGGTTACAAGCCTGAGCAATTAGAGAGACAACAGACAAGGAATCACATTCAATATCAAGGGACCTAATGCCCTTGTCCCAAGCCATATGCAAACCTCTAAAGAGACTCCATAGCTCAGCCTCATAAACATTTCCAATCCCAATATTGGCAGAGAACCCACAGATCCATGCTCCATTAGAGTCCCTTAGGAAACCACCAGCACAAATCTTCCAAGAATCAATTTTACAGCTGTCATCCACATTCAATTTGAAATTGCCAAGGGTAGGGAGACTCCAACGGACTTGGATGACCTCTCTAGTAGGCTTAGCATTGACCACATTATTGGCATCAAGCCATTCACTAGAAAATTGCAGAATAGTGTGATGGGGGTTGGGAGGAGGTTCATAGCCAGGGTTAAAGATAGAGTTACATCTCCATTTCCAACAATGTCCAAGGAAGGTTGCCAGAGAGCATAATCTTGCTCTTCAGGTTGATTCTTAGCCAATCAGTAAAGCCTAAGGAGAAAGAGTGAAGAACATCAAAGGGAACCTTTATGAAATCCATACCTTAATAGCAAAACTACATCCTCTAAAAACATGATCCATAGTCTCAGGAAAAGAAAGGCATTTGTGGCAGTTAGGATTAGTTGTCATCAATCTCTTCTCCCTTTGAACATTAGTAAGAATTTTGCCATGCCCAATTAGCCAAACAAAGGTTTTTAACTTTGGGGGCAAGCACAGCTTCCAGATAAAGTCCCAAGGCCAAGGCACAATATCTGCACCATCAAAGAAGGAAAGGTAAGCATATTTAACAGAAAAAGAGCCATTATTTGATAAACCCCATATGCATTTATCATTTCTTTGAGACTCAAATCCAGTATGGATAGCACAAATCCTTTGCACAATTTCCGTAGGTAAGACATGCTCAAGAGCATCAAGATTCCATCCATGGTCAGACATAAAATCTCGCACTGTCCATAACAACATGTCTTCAGAGAGGGGAACAGCGGAAAATTCCTCAAGCAAGCCACAACCCGCCCAGTTATCATTCCAAAACAAGATGTCATCACCACTGCCAACCCTCCACTTTAAACCTTTAGTAAGAATCTGAGCACCAAATAAAATTCCTCTCCAAGTATTAGAATAATTAATATGAGCAGACTTATTGATTCTTGAGGTATTTTCGATTCAGAATATGACTCCAGAGGCCTTTGTCTCTCTGTAAAAGCTTCCATCCAAATTTAGCGAGCAACGCTTGGTTCATCAAATGGGTTTGTTTATGACCAAGACCACCCATGAACTTGGGTTTACAAACAGAACCTTATTTGACAAGATGAACCTTAGTTGATGTCTCATTGTGACCCCAAAGAAAGTCTCGATTCATCTTGTCCAGCTTATCACAAATGCTAATAGGAAATTGGACCGTTTGCATAGAGTATATAGGGATGGCAGAGGAAATGGCTTGTAAATACACTAACCTGTCAGCCATAGATAACGTATGACTTTTCCAAGATGCAAGGTGTTGTTGGACTTTGGCGACAACATGGCTATAAGTATCATTCTTCACTCTAGAGTGAATAAGAGGGACCCCAAGATAATTTCCCAAAGAATCAGTAAGAGGAGAACCACATATGGAAGCAATTTGGTTGGCAGTACCATGATTTGTATTAGGGGAACATAATATCCTAGATTTGTCAAAATTGACTTGTTGCCCAGATAAACCACAAAAAGTCTCCAAACAATGATGCATAATCGTAGCCTGTTGAGTGTGAGCTTCAGCGAATAAGATAAGATCATCTGCAAAGAAAAGGTGGGAAATTGCAGGCCCTCCTCTCACCACCTTAATTGGTTTCCAATATTTACTAAGGACAACACCATTAATTATGTGGGACAATTTCTCCATGCAAAAAACAAAGATATAAGGAGATAAGGGGTCTCCTTGCCTAATGCCACAAGTTGGTTGAAAACTTTCAGTTACTTCACCATTGAGAATAGCTTGATTCTTGACCGTTGTGATGCATTGCATAAGCAGCTCCAACACTCTGCCTCTAAGACCTGCTTCCCATAGCACATCTTTAATAAAATGCCACTGAAGTCTGTCATAAGCTTTGGACAAATCAATCTTCCAAGCAATGAAGCCTTTCTTGCCTTTAGAATTCTGAAATTTATGGAGAAGCTCTTGAGCAATAATAATGTTATCCACAATTTGCCTGCCAGGAACAAAACTCACCTGGTTAGGGCTAACAATCTTAGGCATGATAGGTCTGAGTTTGTTGACCAAAATTTTCGAAACAACCTTATATAAGGTGTTGCATAGACTAATTGGCCTAAACTAAGACATAGCAAGAGCATTAGGGACCTTTGGGACAAGAGCAATAAGGGTGTTATTAAGGTTGTCAGGCAAGCTTGAAGAGGTAAAACAATCTTTCACCAAATCACAAATATCAGAGCTGCATAAAGTCCAATGATCGTGGAAGAATTTAGCTGGAAAACCGTCGGGCCCAGGGGCTTTAAGCCCTCCGATAGAAAAAAGGCTGAGCTTAATATCAACATCAGCTACTTCACTGTTGAGAAAGTTCAGATCTGTAGAATCCAAATCAGGGAAAAACTGGGGAAGATCAACCATCTCACCAATCCTAGTCTTCGAAGAGAAAAGGTCTTTGAAGTGGGAAGTTACAATAGCTTGCATATCAGATTTCTCTGTGGTCCAGTTTCCATCACTGTCATTCAGCCCTTCAATTTTATTTCTTCTCTTTCTAACGACTATAGAAAGATGAAAGAATTTAGTGTTTTTATCACCTTCCTTGAGCCAAATGTTCCGAGACTTTTGAAGCCAAAAAAGTTCTTCTTGTTCTAGAATCACATTCAGATCACCAAGCAACTTTTTCTCTAACTCCACAAGAAAAGGAATAGTCCTCTTACACAAAGATCTTTGAGTGCCATCCAGCCTAGCCATGAGTATTTTCTTTTGTTGAAAATATTACCAAAAACCTCTTTGTTCCGGTCAGTAAGGGCCTTAGTGAGAGAGAAAGTCTTGCACATAGCATTACCATTAGAATTATTCCATATGGCTGAAACAAAATCTTTGAAGCCTTGATGCAACATCCACATAGCTTGGAATCTAAAGATTTTAAACTCTGAATGTGGGTATTGAGCAAAATTAAGAGAGATCAAGAGAGGATAGTGATCTGACTTGACTCTAGGGAGGTGCCTAACAAACCCTTCAGGAAATTTATGTCTCCAGGTAATATTACAAAGCCCTCTGTCCAACCTTTCCCAGAGAGTTTCACCATGAACATTCTTTTTGTACCAAGTAAACTGTGCTCCAGAAAAACCAAGATCCACTAAATGATGACGACCAATCCAGTCAGCAAACCCACTATTGCAATGAACAGCTCTGCCTCCCTTCTTTTCGGAGTCATCAACAATTTCATTAAAATCCCCAGTAACAAGCCAAGGAAGGTTATTAGTAGAAGAAACTCCATCTAAGTAGGTCCAGAGGGATCTCTTTATTCTAAGACAAGGGTGAGCATATACAACAGTAAGAATCCAAGAAGATGAACCTTGTGTAATCATTGCAGTAATTGACTGGCTGGAACACGCCACAATATTGAGATGAATATTGCTACAATTCCATAAAAGCCAAATGCCACCCGAAAACCCATTTGCATCCACAATATGATGATTAGTAAAGCCCAGGCCATTAACAACACGCATGGCTTTATCACCACTTATTCTTGGTTCAAGAACAGCCAACACCTCAACATGATTTAATTGGATAATATTCTTAAGTATTTTGGAGAGGGATTTGTCCCCAGCACCTCTTACATTCCAGATCAATATCATTAAAGGAAATGGCATTGAAGGACCCTAAGATAAAGATCCTAAATTAAAAGGCAGAGCTCAAAGCCTCTACCAAGGCAGAGGCAGAGCCTACAACTCCAGATTTAACATCTATCATGGCTTTTTTAAGCCTAGAAGAATCTACAATAACAGTAGGAGGATGGCTATTTACCTCATTACCAATTGAGAGACCCATGTTTGGACTTCCACCAGAGTTATTCACAAAACTATCGCCACAAATCATTGAATCAGTATTTTGATCAATATTAGGGGGGTCATGCCCTTCAATATCCGACTTATTGACATGGTCACCCCCAATCCCCTTCTCCTTCAAATACTTGTTCAGATTGAAAGAGAGGCCATCCAACGTTTCTTCTTGGATATCCAAATTGCGAACTTGGAATCCATTCGACAAGGAAGTCTTCTTGAGGACACGTGGCTTAAAATCAGCCTGTCTATTTTTTGGAGTATTAGTTGCAGCATCTTTCTCTTTCCCGTTGTTGGAAATATCCCCCAAGGTTTTCCTTGGTCTACCTTTAGCTTTCTGTTTTCCCTTGACTTGCTTTGTAGTCTCACCAATTTGTTTTGCCTCAGCACATGCAGGTTCTAGGAAGCATGGTTGTGGGGTGGCAACAGGAGGTTTCACTTCAAGGGCCTCAGGGAGGCCATTTATCTCATTTTGTGAGTGCAAATGATCAAATCTGGACCCGGATTTTTGTTTGGCAGCATTGATCTTGCCATCAGCATGTGTAGGCTCCTTTTTTTTAAAAAAAAGGTTTAACTAGGCTCCAAGGACCAAAATGGCTTGAATCTGCAGGGGTAGCTGCATAAGCATCCTTAGTGCCAGAAGAAATCCCAATATCAGTATCAACCCCAAAAGGTTCCTTATCAGATGTAGACTCTCCTTCCATAGGCTTTTGGGTATCCTCATGAACTCTAATTTCAAATGGACATTGGTTCCTATTATGGCCATAAATTCCACAGCCAAAGCAGACCAAATGGAGTCCTTCATATTCTATGGCATACCAATTATTCTCAACTTGCACATTAGCAATTAACGGTTTGGTCAAATCCAGTTCAATACAAATTCGAGCATATTTGCCACGGGCTTGAGCAATTGTGTGAGTATCAATGCGATAAGTCACACCAATAAGGTCCCCAATACGTTTAATTGCCTCAGGATTAAACCATTCAACATGTAAACCCGTAACACGCACCCACACAGCCATACGAGTGATAGTAGCTTCATTAGGATCAAATCCTGGTTTCCATCTCTGCATCACTAAAGATTGCCCAGCAATTACCCATGGTCCCCCAGAAAAAACATACCTCATGTCTTCCTCAAGCACAAAGCGTACAACATAGAAGTTGTTTTCCAGGTCAATCAATCTTATTGCACCTTTCAAAATGCTCCATTTTTGTCTTAGACGAGCTAATAAGAAGCTGTATGTATGGGTCCTGCCCATTAGTTTGATTATAATTGCGTTCGGCCAGGGACGGTAGAGTCGTTCCTTCACCTTGGTGCAAAAGCGTATGCAAGGACCACGAGTACCCTCTGAGACCTCAAAATCAGCATCCTCTATTGTGAGTTTATCTTCCTCCATACCCACCAGATCTTCCTTATGCACTCCGATCCCACCTGGGTTCATGAGCTTTTCACGAAAATTCATTATAGGTTTCGGCGCTATAGTAGGAAAAGGCTCAACCTCCATAGCTCCTGCATCAGTACCATTAGGTTCAAGGATACGGCTTCTCTTAGCACCAGCAGTTTCAAAAGACCCTCCACTTCCCGAAGGTCGGGAAGCAGAGAAAGTGAAGTCAATTGGTGGCGTCGCCACCGTGAAGCAAATAATTGGCAGATTTTGGAAAAAGGTGATTTTGGGATGCAGCGCGTGTAGCGCGTTCAATTCTCCTACAAAAAAGTTTTTAAATGGGCTAGTTTTGTTTTTAAATGTAGTCACTGTAAAGAGGGCATCAAATTAAATAAATGATAAATATGTCTTTGGCAAATGACAGCATATCTGTTAGGCTCTGAAGGTTCCTCTATCTAATTATCTTCTTCAGTCCCTACAACACAAGGACGATATTGCTCAACAATGCGCGGTGCTCATCAATGAGAACAGAAGAAGTAATTGAAATCGGTTGTGATTAATGTGCTAGTATTGCTCAATGAGAACAATGGAGATCACTTACACTTACAGGTTCTGGGCTTGGTCCAACCAATAGCATTGGCTTTTTTACGCAGGATTTCCAAAAGCTGCTGTGAATATGAACAAATCATTGCTAGTCTGATCAGCAGATAAATACAGAATCTACTCAATAATATTATGAATAACATCTTCCTAATAACTGGAAAAACTTCTCTTCATATTAAATGAACAAAACCAATGACAAAACAGAAAGTGCAAAGAATTAGCTCAGCACTTAGTGAGAACCAATGTTGATTTCTAACCAAAAATATATGAGGGGAGTACAAATACACTTAAGCATTGTAAGTCTCTGTAACTCAACGTTCGTAAGCATCATAATAGAACCCTTACAATACTCAGCGGTCTGCTGCTTGCATGACACTGTTTCGAATAGAGAATCAATGTCATTTTCATCAAATTCAAGACATACAACAGAAAACGACCTCTGAATGTTCAAAGGCAGACAGAAAACATAGTAAAGTAGTTTAATATGAAAAAGCTGAGATAATTTGATAGACAACAGATCATGTAGAGCCAATAGTGCCAATGCAGGTCCAGCTGCGGTGAATCATATTACAGATCATGTAGAGCTTTAGATGGTTTTTAGGTTAGAGTAATGAACACGAAATACAACTGAGATACCATAATAATAGCAAGAATCAAGAAAATGTACTGATTCACACAATATATGATTCCCCAATTTCTAACAATAATTATAAAAACTATAAATAAATAAAAATGGAGTAAAACTTTAATTTGATCTTGATTAAGAATCAAAAACTGAATGATGGAATATGCGATAAGATGAATTAATAACAATTAAGAACATCATAATGGGGGGAGAGACAGAGAGTGAGAGAGACGCACAAGGGCGTCCGTTCACCGCCTTGGAATGAGAGCTTTTGGTTCTTCACGTTCTGAATGTAAAGCTAAGAGGGGGAATTAGTGGGGCTGCATAAGGAAGTGTACATGGCTCGCTCCACTATCGTCGAGGCTAGTGGCCTTCGACTTTCTCTTCTTTCCCAAGGATATGCCTTTAATCAATCCTCAAATATTCTAATTGAGGACACAGAAACCCTAACAGAATCCAAAGCACCAAATCAGAAAACCCACCCAATAAATAACCAAATAATTATACAAGACAGCCTAAAAAACCCCAGCAGCACTCTGGTCCCCTTTGTCCTTGCCGACAACCAACCGCAAGGAAGCTAAGGAGGGAGGCCATTTTTCTGTATTCCATAACAAATTCAGACGGTTATATCTGTTAACTTAACAACAATAAGTAAATCACCTAAATTTTTGAAAAATCATTCTCTATTATTGCAGATTAGTGAGTCCTAGAACTACTTGCGGGTCGTAAGATAGAAAACGAGTTAAAACATTTAAAGCAACCACAGCCGCAAGATCTCATTAAAAGAGATCCAACACCTGAGCCCCCCATCCCTCAAATAACCCTATAATATAAAAATTCGTTCATAAGTTTATAACCCTAGCCTTTTGCTCACGCACACACACTCTGATACTCACTCCCTCTGCTTTGGTCTCATCTCCGTCTACCTATCGACTCTCTCTTGTCTCGTCTACCTCTCAACAAATAACAAGAGGGTTGGTCTCGATACCCAGATCGGATTCAAACGTTGATTCTTTTCCCTGCGCTTAGTTTGCATTTGAAGGAATTCATTGTCCAATTTTCGTTTATTCTATTGGTTTCTTTTTAGATCGGTGGGTTTCTGAACTATTTTTGGGTTGTGAGTTTGATGATGTGGGTGGGTCCGTGTATAGATTTCTGAATCCAAATGAAAAACTGAATGAAAGTGAAGCATCTGTTTTGTACTGTAAGAAATTCTAATTTATTTATGGTGTTGGATTTTTTATATTTTATTTCAGGTTCGAATCGACCCCAAACCCTAAATCCCTAACACCCCAACCTACTATCTTTGTATAGTTTTCTGCGTAGATGGAGCGCTTTGGCTCTCTCTCTAAAATCTTCCTTTCACGCGGCTCAGTGCAGTTTATGTTGAACGTCATTCCATTTTTTGTACTCTCGACAATGGAATTATCACGTGATCGGAGGACAATTGAAAAGTTGAGAAAGATTAATGAATTACTGGGTGGATATTGGAAGGTGGACTTCTTTTGATTTTATTATATTTCATTTATTATGTTTTTCTTTCTTTCTTTTTATTAGTTTGTTTGTTTTTATTAGTGATAATGGAGCTACAGAATACAGCACGACGGAGTTTCCACAAAAGTCTTCTGCTTCACACACCCATGGTCGAAGGTTTAATCTGTTTATTTTTATTTTATTTTATGCATTTTGTATTTACATTTGGATTTGTCTGGAATTACTTTTACGAATGTGCTTATTCAAAGGAATCACTTTTTAGTGATTTTAAGTGATTTTGGGGAGAAACACTTCCCACATGTTTCTCCATAAAATCATTTAAATTATTCATCTATCCAGAATCACTCCCAAATTTGTGTTTTTGTTTTGGCGTTGCTAGATCCTTTACTTACTCTTACTTATTCTTCTCTTTGCTTGTTATATAATAACATGTTGCAGGTGATGGCATGGGACGGGATGGATATTTGTGGTTGTGGATCTTATTTATTAAGTATGTTGTGGATCATAATTTGATTTTGACTTGGTATTTTGAGTAATGAATTTGATTCAGTCCGACTCTTATGCATGGTGGAATTGGCAGTGATCCTTGTAGCATATTAGACACGAGATTAAAAGAGTATAGATTCTGCCATGGAAGAATGATAGGATTTTGGTTAAATCCTGTTAAGAAGTTGTAATGATAGGATTTTGTTTAAATCCTCTTAAGAAGTTGTAAGAGAGGTCGAGACTCAGCAAAGTTTCTCTACTTACGTTCCACACCAATTTTGGTATTCACCCATGAATGCTGTAAATCGCTAAGTTCTAGGTTGCGCAATACGTATTGATTTTCAATTCTTCTCATAATAGAAGATTTATATGATTAAATATTCTCCCAAATTGACATGATGTGTTGATACATTTTGTTATTAACATGTACCCAACAATGATAAGCCCTTTATTATTTAGTGTTCGTTGAATTCATGTTGTAATAGATGCAAATTACATTGTTTTGAAATCTTCCTCAATTTAACGTAAAAGAAGATCTTCTGGCTGCAATAGATGCAAAGTACATTACTTCTCACCATACGAATACAAAATAACCCACATCTTGTTCGAGAAAAAAAGGCATTCTGAAGGTTTAGTAGAAAAGAAAATGTACACATCATTTGACTGAATAAAAAATAATAAACACATTTTTGCACATAGTCCTAAAATACTTCATACAAGTTTTGAGAAAAAAATTTCAAACTTCTAATGAGATCAAGAAGATACTTTATACGAACCATAGTCGTTTAAATACAGGCCGGAACAAAACATAGCAATAAATACCAAGCATCCCATGTCATCACCTGCCACACTGGAAGATAATAGCAAAAAATAAGTCAACACAAGACAATAGCAAAACCACACTGGAAGATGACGTGAGAAATTAGCATAAGACTACCACATGGAAAGTTTTATTGCCGTTGTAAACCAATACATAATACATAACTTGAATCTTTATCATATTTCCCTTTCCATATGAACCAGCAATGAATTTCATGTGCTTACATATAAAAGGGATGTATATCTACACTAACAAATTGAGGAACATATTAAACTACCACATACATCATGGAGAGATGAGGCTCGGCGATTAGTATTTGAAGCACAAAACTACTCCTCTGGCATCTTCCCCACACTAGCATCCCTATTCACACACACAAGTCAAGTCCAACTATACATGCTAAAAACAAAAGGAAATAAGTGGATGCAGAACAAAACCAGTACAATAACAGTGGGTAAGCAACTTATGTACTAGCAGAACAAAACCAATACAATATCTAGTTGTAGTTATCTTATTTGGTGAAATCAGATATTTTACAAGCAACTTATGTACTAGCATGGCTTGAAGTGAAGAAATTACAGAGGGAGTTGCTGAAGGAACCGAGCTGCAGAGGGAGATGGGTTAGGGAGTTGTAGAGAAAGAGAGCGAAGAAGATAGTTGAGAAATGCAGAAGTAGACATGCAATCAAATTAAAGAGAGCTAACCAGAAAAAATAAATTATTAGAAAAGGGGGGAGAGAGAGAGAGAGAGAGAGAGAGAGAGAGGATTGCCAATAAAGTAATAAAAACCTAGTTTGTTCATCTTAAATGAATCCTCAACAGTTAGATGGGGATAGATCCTGAAATGTGACAATTTTGAGTTACTGATTCAGGTTTGGGTGTTGAATCAGTTGAGGGGGATTTGCATGCAAAGAATAGTAATCAAGTCGCGCAAACCTAAAATAGTTCAGCAAGAAACCTAAGAGTGGTGTAGTGGCCACAAGGCCAACATTTAAAAATTACTTAGATAGATCAATCAAAACCAAGATAACTAACTGCGATATACCTACCTGGATCTGCGTGCAGATGCAATGGTGTCCAGCAAGGTTTGTTTTTCCCTCCATTCCCGGTATGTATCAATGATGTAGTCCGTTGTAAAGGCATCATAGGTCCTATTGGAAAACAAGGAAAGTCAAACTATAAATGTCGGTGATTCCCGAGGTGTGAACGTCGGAACAGACACACAGATAGGTTGTTGACATGTATGCATTGAGGAAGTCCACACTTGAGGATTCCTCTATAAACATACCTAAATCTAATCAAACACAACTCGAGTAAACGAAAATACAGAGATGCAAAGACCAGAAGAACCAACATGATTACGAAGCGAAGCGAAGAAACCAATTAAAGCAAGGATGCAGAATAATTAGAAACTGGAAATAAAAATTATAAAAGAAAAAAACCACATAATTAACAATTACCTATCGAACTCTTCGACGTTTTTGTCCGCTTCTAGCATCAGTGTCGTTGCTTCATTTGTGAGATCATAAATTTTATAACTCATTACAGAAATTCCAGAGAGTATCAGGAGTTTCAATATGGAATGACCAGCTTCAGCCATTGGGAAGGATCGGATCGGATCGGACGGGACGAAAGGAATGCTCTCGAGTTAGGGCTTGAGACGGGATAGCGATAGCAGAGAAGAAGGGTTTGGATTCATCTCTTGGACTGCGTGCAGTTTCTCTTGTTGTTTTCAATGTTGGCATGTTGCAGTTTGCTTTGGACTGTTTTGGTTGTTTAATGGAATTTGTTTTGGGGAAAGAAAAAAAAAAGCTCCTATGTTCTCAGCATCCTCTTTGTTTCTGTTTTCATCCTCTTTTCTTCCTTCAATTTGTGAATTTTTTGGGGTTTATGTATCAGTTAGGTCCCATGTTAGCACATCTTTCTTATGTGGAGTTTCTATGAGCCATGGCTTTTTCTTTTGCTTTATGTGTCTAAAGTGTAGACTGAAACTCACGCGGAGATTAGCCAACCATGGAGAAAAGGATGACAAAACCAAGACCCATGCAAGTTGATGGCAAAGTAGGCGTTTCTTAATGGAGTACTTATTCAGATTTATAAAAAAAACACAAAACAAAAAATTCATGTTCATGTTGCTGTATTTGCAGCTCTTGTTAATGTTGTAAGAAACCTCCAAAGTTATTGTAAGATATTGTAAGAAACGTCCAAACAACAACAAAATACAGGAAATTAAAATATTGGAAGAGGGTTCTTCATATTATCTATAACCCCAAGCCCAAACAGCAGAGGGTTCTTCATCCCTTTACAATTTCTGTTGAAAAGAACAAGTAAAGGATCCAACAACCATAAATCTGCATCCTATCCCATACCATCACCTGCAACGTGTTATTAAATAACAAATAACAACATAAGACAATAGCAAAACCAACAGAAATATCCCAAACCATGTTTTGTTCCTAATAAAATTTTAAACATGACCATGTTCCAGGAAATATACGATCCAAATTAAGAAGAAGAGAAAGAGGAGACCTGAGTGATGTGCTTTTGGGGACCCTCGAACTCTGTCGTGCGTGCCTCTCCGACATCCTGTGAGAGATTACGGAAGACGAAAAAAAATTATGAGAGATTATGGAAAAAAATAGACAAAAAGAATACAAAGAAAAGAAACGATAATAATAAAATCTTGTGATCAAATTGAATAAGATATGATGAAACTGTTGGTGTATAAGTGTGTCTGCTGAAATGTAATTAGAATAGGAAGGTTCTATTCTTTAAAAGGCTGCGTTGGATCATAGTCCAAGTGTACAACAGAGAATGTTTTAGCTTATGCTACTTGTCATTATCTCATAGGGTAGTGCATGAATGACTAAGATTGAGTGATGTAATGAGGAATATTCTATTCCTAACGGTTTTGTCAGAATCACAATATATGCATGTTTTGGAGCTGAGCTAATTCAGACAGCCAGCTTCTTCTCCAAGCTCTCTCTCTCAGAAATTCACTACTCTTTTTCTCTCTGAAAATCTCTCTGCATTTCTTTGAATCTTATTACATTTCTGATTGAATTAATATGCAAGATTATGGTCTGCATATACTGACAGAAACTACCTCTCAGCTTCGATTTCCATAACAATCCGATTCAGCTTCTCACTGTCTTCCGCGCGCAATCTCGAAAAAGAATAAGTGGCCATAAATGTAACGACACCAACAAACAAAAGAGCAGCAGGGTGTGCCATATTGATTGATTGGGAGGAGTAGTAGGAGGACTCACTCAATGAGATGAGACAGACGGCGTACAAAACCAAAAACTACAGAAAGATATTGGGTCGGGGGTTAGGATTGAACAGATAAATATGATCTTACTCGGCCGTTGGATGTTTCTAACGGCTGAGGTTTACCCCAGTCTTCTTCACCTAATAACATGTAGCCCCAAGCTATTTTTAAAGTTCGGGCTTGGGCTGGCTTTTTTTATTTTATTTTATTTTATTTTATTTTAACACAAAATCAAACAACACCAAATTATATCCATACATATAATGCTCCAAACCAACTTATAAATTCATTGAATTTAAAAAAAAAAAAAAAGGTATTAAACATAACTATCTTTACTCATTAGTATTTGAGACAAACAGTTTTTCTGTTTTGATTTTAAGATATAGGAATTGAATTTTGTTTTTAATTTGGCGGAAGAGGAGGTCCAAATTTGTTAGCCCACCTTACATAAAACACTGAAACGACAATTATACCCTTTTTGTTTACAGGGTGACCCAAATTCGTTGGTTTCCTTTTTTTAAAAAAAAGAAAATTTATATATCAGATCAGATCGAGAGACCTAAGGCATCTTGAGAGCTCTTGTCAACCAAAACAACATCGGTGGCATCATAGGAAAGTCAGGTAGCATGATCAAGCAGCTACAGCAGGCCACCGGGGCCAAGATCCGAATCGAAGAAGCCCAAGTCAAGTCACCGGACGGGTAGTGGTGATCGTCGCTCCGATCGCAATCTGTTCCAAGATTTGGCTGAGAACTCCAGGCCTCGAAAATGTTAATGGTGGTGAGGAAGAGGAGATTGAGGTGGGGTGGTTTCGTGCCAGTTTCTGGTGCAGTTATCACAAACAGCGACTATATTTTAAATAAATAAAAAATTGCATTTTGTAGATAGCATTGGTGCTCAAACAACACAACGGGGTCCTTCAAATCCACTCACCACCACCAACACGTTTGTAACTTTAATTTGTAACATTGGTGCATTGCATTTTTCTTTTAGTTTGTAACTTTAATTAACTTCGAATTGGATTTTTCCTTTGGGTTGTAACTTTAATTCATTTTGCATTGCATTTTCCGTTTGGTTTGTAACTTTAAAGGATTTGAAATTGGAATGCTTGAGAAGTTGAGGTTGTAAATGCTTGAGAAGTTTAACTTTAATTGGAATGCTTGGAATTGTAACTTTAATTTTCTTTAGGTTGTGAATGCTTGAGAAGTTGAGGAGGTTGTGAATTTATATATGCTTGAGAAGTTGAGGTTGTGAATTATTTATTTAGGTTGTGAATTTATATTTTTGGGTTAAAGTATGCTTGAAATCAAAAAGCTTCAAAAGAAGCATCAAAATTAGACCTAAAATGTGGAAGATTGGATTTTTATGACACAAAAAGAACTTGCGATTTTAAACCGCTAATTCACGGTAACCAATCGTTTTTTGTGGTTTACCGCAATGCAGTAAACCACAAAAAGCGGTCGGTTTGCGGTTTTAAAAATCACCATACTGCAAATAGTCGATCGATTTGCAGTTTGGGCAAAAATTTTCAGTTACCGAATCACAACCACCCCTATAAATATATTTGGTTGCACATTTGCATTCACATTAATTTGTGTTAGTTTAGTGATTAAAAAAGTGCATGACATCATGGTGGCTGCATTGCACCGAGTACATCTGAAAATAGCAATGAAAAAAAAAAAAAATCAGAGCCTATCTAATTTGAATTCCTTATCTTGCATTGATTGCATGATGTTTTAGTTTTTGGGTTTTTTATTTTTTTATTTTTATTTTTATTTTCAGGAGAGGCATGCTATTTGCTTTGCAGATTGAATTATCAATCAACATGGCGTGAAAGAGACCACAAAACAAAGCCATATTTGATTGAAGAAGCAAAATTATCATGATATATATAAATATCTTCTCTTTCCATTGAGTAATTTTAAAATAATTTTATTTGAGAGACACATTGTACGGTCCGATACAAATTTTAATTATTCAAAGATCATCCTTGCAAAAAGTTATCAAAATCGGAAATCATTAAGACATGTAGTTGTGATTAGCAAAATCTACAATCCCCGTGGATCAAGAAAAACTTAATAAACTTGTTTGAGGAATTTTTCAACTGAAACGCTTTCCCTTTTCGATAAATAAAAAATTATCTGACCTTGTTCTAATGGATGGAAGGTCTTGAATGGCGGAAAGGAGTCAAATAGGAAACGAATATGAGTAGTTGAAACGTCATCCAAATGGGAGTTGGGGCATGCTTATAAAACAAACACAGAAGTTGAAGCGTAGAAGGATCAGGACTGACTTGCATTATTTTTGAAAAAACTTCTCCAATTGGTTGTTTTGAGACTACAATATTTGATATCGAACAATTTTCTAGTTGTTACCAAAAAAAAAAAACAACTTTCTAGCAAAAGTTTTCTTCACTACTAGAAAGCTTCACATGTTTCATACGTGACCAGTATTAGCAAAAGTTATAATATTAAAAAAATAGATGGTTTGGATCGTTAGAAAAAAAATTTGCAGGGTACCTTAAAGGGTATTCCTCAAATAAAATTTATTTAAGAGATCTTTTAATAAAAGGAGATTATATATGTATATATATATATATATATGGTCAGGATCAGGAGACACACAAAAAACCACACATTTATACACACATTTTCAACCTTTAGATGAAATCAGTTTCAATGGTTAAGATTGCATTTGAAAAGCAATCAGTTCCCTCTCAAGCATATAATTGATATGCCTTGAAAATAACTCATTCTCTCTCCTCACAAATTTCAAACCAGAAAGAAACCTTTGGTTTAATGTGTTATCAAAATAAATATATAAAGCAAAACGCTTGTCATTTCCATGTAAGCTGGAGGAAGACAATGAACATCATGGATTTCTTTCTTCAAAGGATGAGTATTCATACCCCTTTTTTCTTTTAACTTGCCAAAAAAAAGCTAGCTAATTATAAATCATTTGAGAAAGTCTCAATCTACTGATGTAGCTATTACCCAAATTTACATCAAGTTTTACTGACTTTTCTTATCCAGAGATAAAGTCTTCTTTCTATTATGGCTTTCAAGATAAGGATGACATCTTCAATTTAATTTTTCTTTTCTTTTCTTTTTTTTTTTTTATGTCGAAAAAAGTTATATTACAGTTGCTAGAATTTTTTAAAGCCTAGGTATCTACAATAAGACCAAAGCAATTCGAATTCCTTAGGTTCATTGAGTCTTTTTAAGAATATATAAAGAAATAGGAGGAATGAATGTAAGAAAT